ATTGTTTTAAAGCTGTGCATGGTAACACACCTGTAGTCGCAGCTACTGGGGAGGCTGAGGCAGGAGGATCACTTGGGAGGGAAAAAACCAAAACATTTGTTTTTCTGCCAGTGAGAGATGGCTTAGCACCACTCTGAGATCCAGATCCGGGCACCTGCTTGGCAGGTTGGGCTGTCTGGAGAGATCGCCAAGACCCTGAAGGCACTGCCATCCTCCGCTTAGCCCAGCCGTCTCCCCAGTGGGGTAGAGTGCAGCTATACAGAGGGCCCTTGTCATAATACGCAGCCGAGCTGATTCCCAAGGGCTCCATGGCCAGGAGACCCTGGAAGCCCCCAGCAGATCGTGAGCTTGATCCAAGGGTGTTACTTCTCTGAGTTGTCCTTGGGCATTTCTGCCTTCCCAGGACAGACAGCTGCCATCTCTTGCCTAGCACAAGGTCTCACTCTCATGGCACCAGGGTGAGCTCTTGGCTTAGACTCCATTGAGGCCTGTGACCCCTGATATTGGGGTCACATTGAGCTTCACCCCAAGTTGCCATCTCCAGAGTTTTGGACTGTTCTGTGACAGCTGCTAGCCCTTAGTGACAGTGCTCGTGGTCCTGCCTAGGGTGCCCATGGGGCCCTGCACGGGATGCTGAGAGGAAACGCTGCTAAAGCTCTGACACTGCACGTGAAGGTCTCGGGACCTGGCACTGGGAGGTGACAGCCGGGCTCAGACACACCTAGGGAAGCACACCCTCCCCCGCCCCCAGCTGAGTGTCACAGCCACTGTGTCCTGCCCACACGGTGTCTGCCAGGGGCTTCAGTGCACAGCCTCTCGCCACTCAGGCAGTGAGGGGTGAGTGGTGTTGTAACTGCTGCCAGAGGCCTGTTGGCCTTTCCAGCCACCCACTCAGAGCCACGTGGGCCAAGAAGGGAGCCCAGAGGACAAAGCCACAGATAGATAGTGGCTCTCAGTCAGAGTGACTTTGGCCCTTGGGGGACATTTGGTTGTCACAGTTGGGGGTGTGGCACTACTGGTGGGAGGTAGAGGCAGGGACGGTGCCCACAGCCCCGATGCACAGGCCTCCAGCGTCAGCCCTGCAGCCACAGCTAAAGCCTCTGGGGAGGGGTGGCCAGGTCACAGCATGCCCAGTCAGGCAGTGACAGGAAGAAGTATTTCCAAATGACAGAAATAGAGATTAGATAAAAGCACGGTGGACAGTGACAGCAGCGAGGTTTGGGGTATGCACTGTGCATAGGAAGCTCCGGGTGCTGAGGAACATGGGACGGGCAGGATGGGAGGCAGCTGCTTTGGGGTTGAGTGTGGACCGACGTGGGAGGAGCCCAGGACCTTCCAAGGCCAGGGGTGGAGAACGGGCTGCAGAAGGTAAGGTTCATGTGGGAGGGACCAGCGCAGGACCTCAGGCTCTGGTAGGGGTCCAGGAGGAGGGAGGTGGACACAGGGACGAGGACAAAGAGCTGCCTGAGAGTGGCACGGGCTAGGGTGGTGATGAGAAGGGAGGGGGAGGGAGCAGCTCAGACTTGAGCGGGCTCCCAGCTGTGGGAGCAGGTGCAGCTGGGACCTGGGAGTCCTCTAGGAAGCCACTAGTGCACAGCTGAACTTGTGGTCTGGAGCACAAGGCTTCTGGAAACATCCACTCTCTGGTGATAGAGGTTGAGGAGGTGCCCACGTTCAGGTGCAGGCTGCAGACGAGCCAGGGAGACGGGGCAGGACTGAGCGAGCTGAGCAGCGGGCAGCCAGGGGCTCTTTCCTGAGGGGAAGGTCCAGAGGGGGCTGCGTGGGGCTGGCTCACAGCGGCTGGGTCCACGTGGAAGTGGAGACTGAGCGTCCTCAGGAGTCGCCAGAGCAGAAGTCAGAGGCGACAGTGGGCATGTGGAGCAGGACCACCACGGTTGTCCCCGGAGAGTGCAGCAACTGTGAGCACTGATCTCTGGGTCTCAGGCTCCCAGTCTCCGAAAGGGGTGACGGCAGCCCCTGCTGGAGTCAGGCGACCAGCTCCAGCATGTGGCTGGAGAATAGAGAACCACTATAGAGGGCACTGGTTTCCTAATGACTAAGGATGTAGCATCATTGTGTAAACAGTGTTTTAGATAAACAAATTTGCAAGGATGAAAATGACAGGAGGTTTTGAGGGACCTGAAGGAAAAGCAAGTTGCTGTTTCCCAAGCACTAGCCATGCCCCGCGCTGGCCCCAGACTGCCGCACACGCCCTCTGCCCATGGTCACTGGCCCTGAGGCCAGAGCCCCTGTCTCCCAGGGTACCTGCACCCATGTGGGCCACCTCTGAGCAGCCAGGTGCAGGGACCAGCTCGGCCACATGTCCAGACTGGCTCCGGAATGCAGGGAGGGCCTTCGTAGAGCCTGGCACTGCTCCCTGCCCTGCCAGCCCAGTCACCTGCGGGCTCGAGGCCTCTGCCTGCAGGGCAGCTGGGCCATGTGTCTTCCTTGGCTGCAGGATGCCATGCAGCACGCCGCAGAGTCGCGGGATGCCGAGCTGGCCGAGCAGCTGCTGCAGTGGTTCCTGGAGGAAGGCAGGCAGGAGTGCTTTGCAGCCTCACTCTTCACCTGCTACGACCTGCTCCACCCGGACGTGGTGCTTGAACTGGCCTGGAGACACAACCTCATAGACTTCACCATGCCCTACTTCATCCAGGTGATGAGGGAGTACCTGAGCAAGGTGAGCATGTGGGCCCAACCAGCCCTGACCTGCCTTCAGGAATGGCCTCTTCCCTTCACACTCAAGTGGTTTTCTGCCCAATATTAACCCCTCCAGAAAGTCACCATGGTGGGTGTCGAGCAGAATTGAGCACTTCCCCCTCTCAGCAGCTCTCCTGCAGATCCCGCCCAGGGAGCTAGTAGCATGCGCACGGCCAGGGAGCATGACAGGTGCTCACCAGTGGCCCTGGGTTTCATCAGGGTGACAGTGAGGCACCAGCTGGTGACAGCCTGTGGGGCTCAGACAGCCTCCAGTGGAGTCTGGGGTATAGCTGTGGGGTTACCTGTTGTTGGTAACCCCTTGGCTGAACACGTAGTAGGAATGTTAATGCAAGCATTGAATCCTTCTAACAGCTGTAGCTTTATCTGCCTCATCAAGGTAACAGTGTCTGATTTAAAAACTCTCCCTGGTTTCAAAGCCCTAGGAGTCCGTGTCTGGGACCTAGCCACTGTCCAGAGACCTGTGTCACTTGGTCCAGTTTGTGGTTTCGAACACTGTGGAAAACCTGCCTCTCAGCAGCACCTACTTGCCCATCCAACCGTACACTTGCTCTCCTTCAAGCCAAATGGAGACCCCAAAGCCACTTGTGCTGAGGCTTCTTTCTGTGGTGCAAGGGAAAGGAGGGGCCTCCTAGGTTAGCAAGGGCAGGAAGAAACAAGAAGGGGGCTAGTGCTGCCAGCTCTGGCCGGGAAGGGCTTGCAAGGCTGCCTGCACCTGCAGAGCCTCTGGGAAACTACCCAGCCCCCAGCGAGGGCCACCCCGAGGCCATGCAAAACCATCGCCTGCTGCAGGAGAAGGAGGCATTCCCACCCACACAGACACCTGAGTGTGAGGCTCCCTGGTGACTCTCCAGGGGTAGAGCAAAGGGTACCCTGACCACGTGGCCTGAATTGCATTGTCTGCCAAGGACTTGGGGGAGCACATTCCCTTTCTGTGGTGGATGACGAGTTCATCCCGGCAATCATTGTCACCGTGGCAGCACTGTGGCTACACAGCCAACTCAGGGTTGTCATCAGAGGACACTGCTCCTTGGCCTGGGGTTCCCAGACCCCTCCACTATCCCTGGGAGGTGGTGACTGCCACGGCACCTGCTCCTGCTGCCCACCTGCGCCTGCCAGAGCCAGACAAGGTGCCTGTCATGGGGAGAGGGTCAGAGAGAGCAGGGGGTCATCCCTCTGAGATGCCCCCATGACACTCTGCTAGTGGAGGGTGTAGGCCCCGCTCAGAACTCAGCCCTGGGCATCAGCAAGCTGGAAGCAGAAAGGACAGACTACGGGGCCAGCATGCCGGTCGGCCTCCTTTCCCTTTCAGCCCTGGGCTGGGGCAGCTGGGAGCTGGCAGGGGGCCTTGCCCGACTGCCCCAGAGCCAAGCTCACAGTGGGCACGTTCTTTCTTCTTACTCAGCGCTTGTTTGAGGGGATCCTAGAAGCACAGTTGCTGCTGCCCCCACCAACAGTGTCGCGCCTCTGCCAGCCCCCAGCACCACCTCACTCTCTCCTGCCCAGCCTGTGAGCTCGGCACAGGGGCAGCTCTGAGCTGGGGCGGTGGCTGGTCAAGCCTCAGGGAAGAGTAAGGAGGCAGCTAGTCCTCAAATGCCTCTCAGGGGAGTGTCCTAGGTGCCAGGTGACCTGCCTCCTGAGGACCACATGATCTCTCTGCTGGCTAGGAGGGGCGGGCAGCCCAGACTGGCTGTTCGCTGCACATTGCCATAGCCCTACAGGTCTGTAAGCAGTGTGTCCCTCTGTCTGAAGGAGGACCCCGCCCCCATGAGCCAGGCCACACTCATGGTCTGCAGCCACCACTCCTGTAGTACACCTGGGGGCCAGATGCCCACGGGAAGCTGCTGGGCTGGAACAGCACCTGGGCTCCACCAGATGCTCCATCTCAGCCCAGCTACAGAGGCCTCATCATGGCCTCCCTGCATTCAAAATGTGCTTGGGGTATGGAGCCAGCCACTGCACGCCTGCCCATGTGCATGTCCCCGGCTCCAACTCTCCTGGGGGGTCCCCGTGTCCTGACCTCTTACTCCATGTTCACCCAGAGGCCTGAACCATGCTGTCAGGTGGGTGCTCACATTCCCTCGCCTCTTTTGCAGGTGGACAAACTGGATGCCTCGGAGAGTCTGCGTAAGCAAGAGGCACATGTGGCAGAGCCCGCCCCTCTCATGTTTGGTAGGTGGCATCTGTTG